GGGCTCAACCGGGATTTGAACCCGGGACCTCTCGCACCCAAAGCGAGAATCATACCCCTAGACCATTGAGCCGCATGGATTGAACGTGGCAATATTGTATTTTGTTTTCATTTTACGACACAATTTGCATCTATGCAACATGCCCGAAATTGTGCAAGTAGATCAGGAGTGAAATACATGAAGATATAATGATTGTACTTTTGCTGTAATCTTAAAATACATTTTTTCGTCACCATTCAGAGCTTACTGTAAATGTATTTTAAGTAAGTAAACACTTTGCTTGTTATCATAAGCATATTTTGAATGCACATATTTGGTATTTGCTGGGCAGTAAATACTATTATAAACAATAAGCTATTATTGCAAAAAGCTAACGTATATGATATATATAGTATACATATTTGTAGACGCGACAAAAAAAACTTTCTCCCGATTGGAGATGCGGGGCATCGATCCCCGTACCTCTCACATGCTAAGCGAGCGCTCTACCATCTGAGCTACATCCCCATGAAATACGCGTGTTGCAAATACATTTACAAACAAAGTTAGGTATTTCTGTATTCAGCTTTTTTATTGTCAACAAACTTATAGCTACACATTAATAACATGGCAAGATAGTCATTTAAATAATACTTCAGTAGACTTTGTGGGCCCCAATTAGTTGACGTATTAGCCATAGTAGTTGCCGTAACCGGGTCCAAAGCCGCCACCACCAAATGGGGCACCTGGATAGTAGCCGGAGTAACCACCGAGATTACCGAGACCACCGCCGTATCCATAGCCTGGGTAACCGAGATAGCCGCCGCCGTATGATGGCACTAGCGGAGGAGCTGGATAAGCCTGTCCCAAAGGTTGACGTCCACCACCGAGCAGGCCACCCAAGAGATTGCTAAACAAGCCACCACCTCCGCCTCCACCTAACAGACCATTCAAGCCAATAATGCGATTGCTGACTCCTCCAGCTGGAGCGCCTGATGCAGAAGACCCCCCAGCGACTCCAGAGGCCCCTGCCACACCAGTGGCACCTGAGTTTGGGTATTGGTATTGTGCACAGCAACTGCCGAGGAGTGCTAGCACAAAGATCTGTTGGAATTGAATTGTGAGATGTTGTGACTAATTATAGGCAAAAAGATTTACTTACAGAACTGCTAATCTTAAACATGTTTGGATATTGTCTCTTAGTTGACTGTTTGTCTAACAGCAAGATGCTTCAGTTTTTATAAGACGATCACAGAATAAACGCCCACATAGGCCGGAACTGTGGGATTGTGTGACGACCTTAACCCCACGATTTGAACGCTATCAATGCTTTTCACATGATTTGTTAACATTTTCGCAATAGTTGCTTATACTAAATAAGTCGCATTAATATTTATGTCTTGGTTATAAAACAAGTTCTTCTCATTATAACGTTAGTTTCAGAGTTTTTTGAACTCGCTGCGATAAGGAAGTACAGGAAATTTTCGAGAATACTATAAATGTGACAACTCGCATCAACTGCGGCTTAGAAGCTGTCTACATCATGGGACCAAACAGAGTGAGTTCCAAAGTCATTGAAGAAAATTCCCCTAAATGTAATAAATGATATACAAATATTGTATATTTTGTATACATTTTTTCAGAGAATCATCTCGATGTTACTGTTGTGCGTGGCAATGGAGTCCAGCCAAGCTCATGGTTTTGGTGGCCACAAGTTTGGTGTCGGGTATCCAGTGGCATATCCTGTGGCACAGCCAGTTCCAGTTCCGCAGCCAATTCCAGTGCCTCAGCCCGTGCCCGTTCCAGTCGCAGTGCCACAGCCGGTTCCGGTACCATATCCAGTTGGAAAGCCATTTAAGCACGGTTGGAAAGGCGGATTCGGAAGCGGTGGATTTGGTGGACTTGGTGGATATGGATATGGCGGATATGGCGGATACGGTGGATATGAAAGCTATTCCTCATATAGTGGTGGATCATACGGCGGCTTCGGAGGTGGTTTTGGAGGAGGTTTTGGAGGCGGCTTCATAAGACGACGTTAAAACAAAATTCTTAATTTTATTGGTATTGTTAAATTAGTGCCTTTAAGCTTCTTAAAAATATTATTTAATGTCAATATTTGTGTCATAAAAGCAAGAAACGTTACAATGTTTTGTACTGTTAACCTAGAAAATAATTAGACATATATAATTATAGTAAATTACATAATATAAATATAATTATTTCTTATCAACTGAAAGAAAATCAAAAAGTTGTTCCCGCCCGGGTTCGAACCGGGGACCTTGTGCGTGTGAAGCACACGTGATAACCACTACACTACGGAAACTTATAACAACCACATAACTTTTTGCCAATATATGCTGTCATTATGGGACGCCACCTATGGTTCATTGTCGTTTATTAAGAAAATCCTTTTCCATATGAATAAATAGGAATAACTAACACTATTTTTGCTATACATATTATCAAATGTTTCTTTTATTTTAGATATGAATATAAGTTATTTTATTTTTATTATTTTAGTGTGAGTATTTATAAAATACGGCTGAAATATAAAAACTTTTTAAGAATTTCTATTCATTCTATTATAGCTAATCAGTTTATTTGTATCTTACTGGGAAAATATATATGTATATATAACTTCTCTACAGTTAAAGTAAACAAAAAATTGGCAATGCATATAAACGTATAATCTTCCCCATATTTATATTTTGTATACAGCCCGAGGGTATGCAATGATTAATTATAGAATATTTATTGTGATATGCAAATGAATGTGAGCCTAAAACTAAATAACAAAAATATAATTTAATGGAGACAATGCGCTAATCAAGAACTTAATATTTTCTGAAAAAGCTATGTTTACTTTCCCCACAGGCCGCCGCCGTAACTACCACCTCCATAGCTTCCACCGCTACTGTAGTGGCTTTCGTGGTGATATTCCTCGTGATGCTGATAGCCGCTGCTGTGACCACCGCCAAAGCCGCCACCAAAGCCACCACCGAACCCTACTCCACCAGCAATGCCCCCACCAATTCCGCCTCCGAATCCACCGCCATGACCCGCCAGTGCATGCTTCAGACCCAATAGCTTTGGTGTCCGTACTTTCAGTCCAACGAAACCGGCATGTGGACCCTTAAATGCGAACAGCTTCACTTTTCCGGCTGTTGCCGCTTGGAGCAGCAAAACGGAGCAGATGCCGAGTAAGAGGAGTAGTTTGTGCTATAAGATGTTCAAAGTAAAATATCCATTAAAAATATTGTCATGGAAGTAATTTTCGTCTTTTTTGTAGTATGTATTATATAAATAATTATTTATATATATATGTATATCTTAAATTTTTGTATAGAATTTTCATCATAAATAAACTTTTGAATTTAGCTTTATCTTCATTTTACTCAATAATTTATGAATTTTTATTTTTTTATTTTGATACACATATTTTATAAGATATAAATGCTATGTACAATTATATTGTTATGCGGCATATAAATTGTTTTTTCCACACTGTGATTGTTCATAAAACTTTGTTTCTTTTCGATTTAGGTTATTGAAACTTTATAGTTTTACACCGTTTTTGTACTCACAATGATTTGCATTTTATACTAAGTTATACAAAATTTTTAATTGATTTAATGTGTTTGCGACGCTTTAGGATTTGGCTTTATGGCCTCGTTAATGTTCACTTATTGTCTTGTAGGTCTTCAAGTTCGAATTTGGTTTCGCTGATTGATGTTAGCTGCATGGACCACGATACGTGTGCAATTGAAGCTGCTGCGTGGTGAGCGAAGAGTTTTTATGCCACTGACGCGTTTTCGAGGCGTTTATTGTCGCCCTTATGCAATCGCCGCTCGATGAGATCTTGTTTGTGTTCATTGTTGTTGTTGTTATTATTGTTGTTGCTGTGAACTTCAGCTTTTATTTAATTTGTTGGCATCTTTGCTGTATTCACAAAATTGACCCTGAAAATTTCTGGTTTTCAAAGTAAATAAGAGCAAAAATACAACAAATAAATTAAATAAATGGAACACAGAGTTTATATATAAAAATTTTATATGTTTATGTATATACGTGTATCGGCTGCGGAAAACAAGGCAGACTGTGGGCAAGTGTTAATAACGGTTGAAAATTTGGAATGACAACAGCTCGTAGGCTCTATCAGGGTATTTCCAGCTGAAAGAGGCGTTCTTGGTTTTAATTTATATACCATCTCAATCGGCTACTGTGTCGTGCTATAATCAAGAAATAACAGCCAATGAAACGCGCTTAGAATACATATCACAGGCTCACAGCTTTCCACTATATCAGCTAACATAGATATGAACCTCTATTGGACTAATCAAGTGAATTATCAAATGCTCATACATATTTGGGTATTTTCGTTTTATTGACCTCCAAAATGCAAGCTCCAACAAAGAGAAATCAAATAAAATGAAAACGGAAATTTCCAGCAGTTAAAAACTTTTAAATATACAAACAATTCGTATGCATAACTATCTGATTTATTTGCCAAAGCCATATGGATAGCCAAATCTATTTCCAGTAGCATAGTTGTTGTAGTTGTTGTAGCCATTGTATTGATACTGATTGAACTGCTGCTGATAGCCTCCGTTGTAATTGCCGTAGCCATAGCCGTAGCCGTTGCCTGGCCATCCGTAGCCCAGCCCTCCATAGCCCTGGTAACTGCTGCTGGCTGCGGCACTGGCGCTTGATGAGGCATAATTTCCATACCCTGCAAACGGCGCAAAGCCGTAGCCAGTGGAGCCAATGCCTGACCACTGTGGTGCACTCCAAGCACAGGCAAGCAGGCACCACAAGACACATACATATAAAGCGAACTGAAAGATATTTGGGTTAGTTAGCTGAACTAAAGAGAATTACCTTCGCCTACCTTCATTGTTGAGGTTTGATTGAAGACTTGTTAACAAATGCCATACACATTTTCCTTTTATTATGTCAAAGTTAAACGGAAGTCAGCTACGGCTAATTATCTGTGAATGGAAAATATACTAGGCATATAATTAAATAAACTAAAATAATAATGAGTTCAAATAAAGGTTAAGGTGATTAAAAATGATGTACATATGTGTATTGTAGAATTGACAAATATATTTAAATTATGAAGAGTTACCAAGCTAAGTAAAATATATTTACATTTTTTCAAGAGTATTTCTCATATCATAAATATATTTTTGTATTAATAAACATTTAATTTTTATTAATATATTTTTTAATTTTATTATTATTTATTTTGTCTATTAGATTAACAGATATAAGCACTTGCAATATTTATTTTGAACTTTTAAAAATAATATTGTTTCATTGGAACCAAATTTGTTAAGCTGAAATTTAAATTCTAATCGAATAGCTAATATTTTAAAACGTCAACCAGGTGCATAGCTAATCCAGATATTTATAACAAGTATTTGTGCAATCGCAAGTGCTCGCAAGACTTTAAAATAAATTCAATTAAAATTGCTATTCCTACTTGCAAATAACTTCCTCATGGTAATTTAGCTACTTTTGGTAACTTCTCTGACGTTCGCTGAGTAATCACCAGGCTGAGTTGAATAAACTGCCGACGAAAGTGAAGGTGTATCAAATATAGTACTATGCTAACAATATATGTATGTAGATGTGTACGCAAATCAGAGACAATGCGTTGTTGTTGGAGCATCACAAGCCAAATACAAGACACATTCATACACACATACATACATATATATTTTTGTGTCTAGTGCTAATGAGCGAAATGACGCCGAAAAGATTTCCGACAACTGCGCCCATGCTTCGCTGCACGTTCTGTGTAAAGTTTGTTGCCTAAGTCTTTTGTTATTTGATTGTCATTTTGCTCTAACGTAAAGTACTTAAGCTGTCCCACGGTGTTGGCTGTATTTAGTTTCTGAAAACATAATTTATTATATAAAGTTCACATAATAATAATAATTTATGAAAAATACGTTGTTTCTTTTGATTTCTTGTAATTCAACTGCAAGAGAGTATTCAGGTTTCGTTGTTGTAAACTCAGATGGGTGATTATTTTTATTGGGTTTTTTTGTGATCTTGATCTTCTATGGCTGCGGTCGACAATTGCCTTAACCCTCAAGAAATGATGTGTGTATTAGTGCACATATATGTATGCATGTATGTATTTTGACAGTCGAAATTAACGCATTCTGCTGCTCGCTGGCTAAGTAATCATTGTCTACCGAGGGGGTATTCCACGATTTCGTCACTAACTGGTTCTGTTTGTTCTGCAATTCGCGTAGAATTACTTGGCAATGCGTAGCGTGTCGTCGGCTGCTTCTTGTGACCGATCATCATTGGGCATACAAGCAGAGCAGAGCAGGCTATATAAATGCGAAGCACTTCACAATTGCAATTTAGTTTCGTTACCGATTCGAGCGGGGCGACACATCAACTCATAATTCTCTCACACTCGGAATGGCGCGCTTGTGTTGTGTACGTATTGGTGGGTCTGTTTAACGATCTTCAAAGTGCTCATCGGATGTTCTCTTATAGCTGTTGGTGGCATTAGCCGTTGTCGGCTATGGATCGGCTGCGCCGGCTCCCATCAAGGGGCAGGGACGCTCATTTGGACTTATCGGCGGTGGCTTGGGCGCCAGCGTGGGACTAAGCGCAGGCCTGGGCATAAATGCGGGTCTCTATAGTGGCTTTGGCGGTGGTGGCTTCCATCCCGGCTCGTTCGGCGGTGGCTACTATCCCGGTGGTGGTTACCATCATGGCGGCGGTGGATATGGTGGTGGATATGGTGGTGGATATGGCGGTGGCTACTACCCAGGCGGCGGCTACAGTGGATTCGGACACAAGCCTTATTATGGCGGCGGCGGTGGTTACTATCCAGGCGGTGGAGCATACAACAATTTCGGAGGCTCATATGGCGGCCACTACAGCCAGTCGCAGTCGCAGTATTCCAATAATTATCATAATGGCGGCTATGGCGGCGGCTTCTTTGGTTGATAGTCGTAGTGATATATGATCTTAGCTTAGCTTTAATTAGCTTTTACTATTTGTGTACCGCTGAAAAGTCCAGTTTGTAAAGTACAAAGAAGTTTGTAAAGAAAGAAGTACAGAAATACAAAACATGTGAGCCCTGAAAAATCCCCAACTAAATCCGGTTTCTCTTCTCGCAGTGGATACGTTGTCCTTGTCCTCGCAATTGCTGTTGTTGTTGTTGTTGTTGTTGTTATTATCGTCTTCTTGTTGCTCTTTTAATGGGATGAACGCGACGTGCATAAATTTATGACCTAAGATGGGAGAATTATATAGCACGTGCATGACTAAGATCTAAAGCCAGAGAACGAACGAACGAACCGACCATACAATTATTCATCCCACTTACCGCTCCATAGCCATGGCGGCGCAGCATAAACACAATTTATGGCATCGTTTGCTCTAAACAAGCCGAGTGATGATCTCTTATTTTTATTTGGAAAGAAACACAAATAGTTTTTGTAAGTACCATACGAATAATTATCAGGCTGCTTCATATATCTATATAGATCTATATACATATACTCACATACATATAAGTATCGCAAATATATCTCTCTTTATTTCGAGTTGCTGATTTAATCTTATTATTCATAGATAATTACACGAAGCTAACTCTAATTTAACTGACACTTTTTTTTATGGCTTGCCCCCCAGATCTTATTTATTGTGATTTATAATTGCTCTAAACAGTATTCAAAAAGAGTTTTTAGATATAAATGAGTGTAAGACTCATTATCTTCTTTTTGAAGACCTGATTATATTCATTAGTTAGAGCACTAACCATACAGCCCATACATATATTAGACATATTTTGCAAACTCAATTGGAGTAACAGTGAATGGGAGTTTTTCATAGAAAATACTACTCTAAGTTCAGCTCTTCTCTTCTTATAATACGCATATTCTGATAACTCTACTTCTTATAAATATAAGGTGTCATAGTAAAGTTGAGAGCGTGTGAGCGAGTGTTTGATCTGGAAAAAGTTACTTCCGTATATTCTATCTATGTTTTGCAAAGCTAAGGAGTAAATCTAATGATACGAAGAGCAACAGTTTGAGACAGAGACAAAATTGATTTAAAATGCAATATCAATTAAATAGTTGTATATAAAAACGCCAAATGAATTTTGCCAAAAAAGGCTTCACTATATATTTTGTTTATATTTCGTCATTCATTTCCACTTAATCAAAGCTTAACATAAAACCTAATTAAAATACTAATCGCTTGCAAATTTCGAAATTGGGTCTATCCATAGCTACTGCGATCGCTTCTCGCACGATAGACGCCTGTTTGGTAGACCGGCTGAACTTGGCCCGTTAGCTGTTGAATTATTCCATTGATGGTCGTAGAGACGCCGCCCACTAGCTGACCCGGCGTCACAGGTGGCTGTAAATAAAAATATCGACAATTGAGGTCAAGTTCAAATGGAAAGATCTCGCTCGACTTACCGCGCCTGCAGAGTCATAGTAGACGCGATTGGGAACTGGGCGACGCACGGGAACTGGATTATAGTTGGGATCCACGGCGGGATCGCTCTGTGGGTCATTCGAGGCAGAAGCGGGCCGCACTGGCAGCTGATCGGCGTAGGGCACACCAGGCACCGTGGCTGCCAGGCTGTTTTGCAGAATGCCAGGTGCGAAGAGTGATAGCCAGGTGGCCAATGGGGCATAGGGACGCACTGGCACTGGCACCGGCACCGGCAACGGCGCTGGAGGCACAGGATCCGACAGCAAGCCACCGCCCAGTCCACCCAAGCCGCCGCCGTAGCCACGACAGCCACCAGCACCTGGATACACATTGTACACGTTCAAGTCGAACAGGAAACGTCCCTGTTCCGTCGGATCCTTTTGGCTGGCTGCATCCCGTCCGAAAGGTGTGCAGGGCCTGCCATAGGAGCCATATCCATAGGAGCCGTAGCCATAGGATGCAGCAGCAGCCGCTGCATAGGGTCGATAAAACTTCTTCAGTTTCTTCTTCAGCAACAGAGATCGGTCGTCGCCCACGTCGGAGCTCAGCTCGTCCAGCTCCTGATTTCCGGCGCCCGCAAATTTGGGATTCACCGAGCCCAATTCGCTCTTGTTGTTGTTGTTGCTGGTGCTGGTGCTGGAGCTCTGGCGACTATGGCGTGTGCCCTGTGTATTGTGGCTGTAGACCGAGGGTGGTGCTCGCCACTGTGGATAGTTATAGTAATAGCGGCGTTGTGCGGCTGCACAATAGCCAAAGGCACAAAACAGGAGCAGATTGATGATCTGCATTTTCGAAGGAATCTATTCGCGCTGTTCGCTATGCGATGCTTCTATGTCTGTGGCGTGTTGGCTGCGGACTATGTAGCCAGCGTTGAGCACGCCCTAATTTATCACCTGTGCATGTGAGCAAAAAGTCGAAAAAAACTACGAAAATTGCCAACAACTGGCAAATTTGCTGTTTTCCCTTAGAAGGCAGACGATTGCATAATTCCCTTTTTTTTATTGGCTTGAATTTTTCCAGCGCATTCGCATTGTGTTTTTTGTTTGATACAAATGCTAATTTGGACCACCCCCGCAAGCCCAACCAGCGAGCAACGTCATCGTCACCGTCATCGTCATCATCATCATGAATAACATCGTTTCGCCCACATGGTTTAGAAAACAAGTTACAAGCGACGCGTCGCGACTCTTGTGCATTGACCTGTGCCAAAAAGCAACCGAGCAAGCAGCCACCCATAGGAGCTCTAACTTGATGATGAATCTAATATGTTGCCAAAAATAATATACCACAAGTGGGTCAATGTCACGACGAGCGAGCGAGTGAGTGCTGGGAACCACCTTCGCCCATTATATTTCTCGCCGATGCGAGAAGCGCCAACAGCTGCAGAGAAAGATCAGCTGTAATAGCTAAAGTTTCAACAAGCAATTTTTGCTTTTTTTATGCGGGAAATTTAACAAACACTCTCGATGCTTCATTACACTCACTCCACTCTATATACACAACTAAACAAACTAATATATATAGAGCTAATAAAATATTTTGCTTTCATGTCATTTTAATTCACATTGCAGTTTAGGAAGCACATACATACAAATATATATAAATATATTTTATACAAAAGCAAGTGCATATAAAATTTGGTCGGATGCAACCGACTTTACAATACTCGTTTACAGTTCAATAGAAGCTTAGCTGCCTTATATTTTAACAGATATGAATGCGATTTAGTTAAATGTAGTCAATCTATAATTATGCATAATTTCGTACGCACTCTGTATGTATATACATACATATTTATCATTATAGTTTCGAGTCAAAATTTTGTTTTATGCGGACAATGAATTACAACTTTGTGAACAAGAATTAATATGTGTAGTAAATAAATTATACATTTTTTAGCATTCATACCATATTCTCTTGACCCACAGGCCTCTTCAGATATTCTCTTTTAAGCTTAGAACTACAAAACATTATAGTACAATTGATAGATTCGGTTTGTTGGATTATTTTACAAACTAAGTTTGAATGAGCCTCTGATCCAAAAATAGATCTTAGCAGATTTTGTGCGTTTAAGTCAAGGGCGTGGCAACAATTAAACGGCTGTTTTTGGTTTAATGGCTTCGGCGCGTTTGCGTTTAGCTCTCAGTTGCTGATTGCAGTAGACGCGCAAAAAGATGGCAGCGAACACGATGAGTACTCCAAAGATGCCCAGCATCGTAATGCTATGCTGATAGATGAAACACGAAAGCATGATGGCGACGGCCTACCAAAGAGCACAAATAAATAACATTTGAGTATACAACTGTGTGTGTGTGTGTATGTATGTCAGTGAGGCACTTACCTGGCGCACTGTCATGATAATTGTAAACACAACTGGCCCGAATACATCAATTGTGTGGTAGATAAACAATTGGCCAACAGCAGAGCATATGGACAGAATAACCATATCGAAGACGAATTTGGGATGCTATAAGTTAAACAAATAAATTGGTTAGCTGTTAGAAATTTAAGAATACATTAAATGAATGTGCAATATCAATAAACAAATACAGAACGAAGAACAATATAGTTCCCTCCTTTCTGTGTGTAAATCCTTTAATATAAGTATTTAAGTTAATGAAAATAATTGAATGGTCTTAGTTCACCTCTGTGGCAAACGCCAGTGAGTCCATGAAGCCGCCCTGCATGGAGAGCGAGGCACCGGTGAAAATGGTGGAGAACAAATTGACGCCGCACATCATTTGGATTGAGGTCATTCCATAGCTCTTAAAGAGCGAGCCCTGCCAATTGGCCGTGAAGCTGTCGAAGATCATGTACATGGAGAGCAGAAAGATGCCGGTCAAGGTGGTTACGCCACTGGCCTTGTTGCTGTCCGCGGATCCAGTCATAAAGAATATCATGCCCAGGGAGATGAGCAACGCCGTGACATACTCGTACGATTCGTATTTGGTCTTGGACATGATTTTTCCCATCAGCATTACAGGTATGATCTTGCAGGACTTGGCCAGCACCTGCGTTGGGAAGTTCACAAATTTAAGAGCCTCATATTGGAACCAAGCACTCATGATATTTGAGAACGAGGCGTACGAATACTTGTAGAGGGGAGCACGATGCCGCGTTGCCGTCGGCTGCCATTGCAGATAGCCGAGTGCCACAAAGAAAGCCAACATACGGTTGGCAAAGACTAGAAACTGTGAGTCCTTAAACTTAGCACTTTCGCCAGCGAAATTTTGATAGTGCTGCGTCATGATCTTCTCCTGCAGCACACCCCACGTTAAATAGGAGACCATGAGACCGCCAAAGCACCAAAGCAGCTGCACAGCCTCCTGCGAACTGGTGCGCTTACTTGGACGATCACGTTCCATTGATGCTCCATTGCTGCTGCTGCTGGCCACGTGAATAACGTCCACAGCCTCATAGTTGGAGTTGCCCGTAATGCACATGTTGATGGCCGTGTGCAGACACGTTTTGTTGCCCCGCTCGAGATAGTTCGTGCGCTGCACATACTTGTAGATGAGATAGCCCGGCACAAAGACGCAGCTGTAGCCGAAGCAGTTAACCAGCAACTTCAAGAGCCATGCATATTCACTCGACTGTGACTCGATTAGCTGCGATAGAGTTACATCCAGAGCATAGCTTCCCGCTAGCGAGGCGCGCAACAGGTCCGTGAAGAAGTGTATTACCAGCAGGCTGGCTACCAGGAACGAGCTGAGAGCATAACAAATCACATTAGCAGGCATACATAAATTTTACCTTTATAACAAACCATATAATTAGCTCGGGTGTTCGATTTCCCATCTTGTAAACGTGCATGTGGCGTTTTTTGGTTTTGCAATGATTCGAGTTCAAACACGAATTGGCTGACACGTTCAAATGGCGATATGAATTTGGATGCCAAGTAATCACGCCGCTAGCATTCTAGCCGGCAAAGTCAAGTGTCATAAGTTCAATAACCGCGCTAAACGAGTTTTCGCATAATATTAACTGAGCACCAGCAGCAGCAGTGGCAGCAGCAGCAGCAGCTCAACAATAAATAATGAAGACAGCGCGTTTTGTTTAAATGTATGTGTCGGGAAGTTTGTTTACATTATAAAGAAGTCGCGTGCCGAATTATCGGTTTTAGTTTTTAATGAACGTGTGGTTATGCGACCTGATGGCACAGCCGTAACTCGTGCCGGCTGTGCAAATATTATACGTGCACCATCTCTATCATAACCAACAACTGTTTAAGAAAATAAGACATCAATAACAAATATTTAGCTATTAGTGTGACCACACGGTGCAAGGAATAATATCCGTAGAGCAGCGTTGCCAGACAGCTTGATATTGATGATGACTACAATATGTTTATTAAAAATATTATTACAAATAATTTTAATAACTTATTTTAAAGTGGCACATTTTATATTTTTTGCTTTCAAAAATCTAGCTGAGATCCGATTAATTTACAATTATGAAACTTGGAACTAAACGTTGGAGAGCTCGTCTGAACTTGTGAACTAGTTGTGAACCTCCAATACAACTCTACAAAGCTGTACTTTTCCCGTTTTGCATTCTATGTCAGAAAAGTAGTGGTTTTGCTACAAAAATCTCATAAAAGCAAACTGTAGAGAGCTGATAAGTAATATAGAGCGTGTAACTAAATGTATCAAGCAACCATATCAATCAGTGAGTGCGTAAATACTTGAAAGATTAATAAAATTGATTCAGCGCTCAATCGCCATTGAACAACGCAATAAAACACACATAAGGACAACTTTAATGTAAGTAAATCTTAAGTATTTAGCTTATGCATTTATTATAAAAGGCATCATAAATGAAGAAAATCCATGTGTGTATCCAAGAAGTATTGACTCATTCTTTTCTTGTTTTTGTTGTTGTGGCAACAGTGTGTATAATTAGAATAGTCAACCATTACATATACGTGAACTCATTTCTAAATATATGTACATATATGTATGTATATATTGGTGTGCGTGAGTCTGCAAGCAAGAGTGGCGAATGAAATAAAAAGTCCAGAATAATACTCGAAACACATGTATGCTGTACATAGATGCAAAACAGTGTTGTGCAACGATAGCAGATGAGTGCATATACAGATACTCCCATCCGAGTTAGTGGATGCTGTTCCTCTATTGCATAAAATCTTGTATGGAAAATCCCAGATTAGAATATGTTATGGAATATATTTATGCATTTTATATGCAACTGAAACGTGTTAACTATCTATGCTTGAACATCTGCGGGGAAATTAGCAAACGATTTTATTGCACGAATTTACGTTTAACAGCTGTACAGCTTATTTTTGATCTTTAAGGGTTGTTAGTCCTAGCCCTTATGGTGTCACCATTTTCCAGCAGCTGCAATTCGTCTACCTGTCCACACTTTATTTGATTACCTGAAATGCAGTTTGAGGCGTATAAAACTGAATCGTTTTTCTGTCTTTCCTTACAGTTGCGAACAAAGGTTCAACCTACGCACACACGCAATTTAATTGTGACCAAAGTCAAAGGCAAACGGAGAACGGAAAATATAATTAACACCCAAACAACGAGGATCTCTTGTGAAAGTTAAATACAGCATAAAAATGGTGCAAACTGGAATATCGCTGAATGAGCGCTTCACTCAAATACAATCTCGCCAGCGACAGCCGTCGGTTGACGGGCAACGGGAACGCAGAAGTCGCAGTCGTTCACGGAGTCGCAGTCGTCGGATTGTGGATGCAGCAGCATCGGCGGCCAATTCGCGGCTGCTGCAGGAGTTTAAACGGAAGCACACCGTCCAGGCAGCCCTCAAACTGAAGCGCGTATGTGTCCCAAATAAAACAAAAAGACTAAACAAAAGACAAGCAACACAACAACCAACCACGATAAGTACTCTGGGATTGAGGAACTGACTGAACAATTGACAAACGCAAGCGATTGAGTATAAACCGTGACGTTCTGTTTGGCTGGGCAAGGGCACGAATAACAGAGAGCAGGAAATGAGCAGATGAGCGCCAGCCGAGGATATGAGCACATTGCTCCATAGAGCACTTGTCGCATCCAGCCAGATTTCACAGCTAGCGCGCGCCTGTTATACTGACCAGCCAAGTCCGGTTCAGCCAGGCCCTGCCCAGAGCAGACAAGATTAACCCAGAAGTAGCCTTCAATATAAATAAATCCAATTGTAGTAGACATCTATTGAATTCACACACACTGAACCGCAACCGCTTGAGCAGCGTCAAGTCGCATTCAGTTTGTTAAAC